AGGGAGGGGGAGAGAGAGAGAGAGGGGGGGAGGGGGAGAGAGAGAGAGAGAGAGTAGGAAGGAAGGACGGACGAGTGCCAAGGCTCGAAAAGAGAAAAAGTGCAAGAGATACAAAGAACGTGATACGAAAAGAAGGGAGAGACGAATGGACGGAAAAGAGAGAGGAATGCGCCGGGTGCGTAGAAAAGAGGCGAGAACGGAACGAGAAGGCTGAAGAGAGGAGCGACGGATCGACGAAACGAAGAGAAGGAGAGAGAGAGGAGCTTCGAGGGTTGGTAGCCCAGACCCGGTCGATACGACCACTACCACCAACATCACCGCCACCTCCACCACGGCGAGCGTCATGCAGGACGTAGCGCGCAACCTGGTCCCTACGCGTATGCACCGATACACAACGGGATCTTGCCGTTTCTTCTTGCCGACCGTCCGTGTCTCTCTTTCTCTTTCTCCTTTTCTCCGCCGTATACTCATCTCTCGATACTTTTTTTTCACCCTTCGCAACACGCTCTCGAGAGTCCGCCATCTCTGAGAGGGTGCGAGCTTCCGTCTCTCTTCGACAGGTTCATTTCTTCGCGATAACTTCGACATGCGCTTATTATCTTTCCAACTGTTGGAAGTAGATAAGTAGACAAGCGGACGAGCGCGAGCGTAGCTTTAATTTGACGTCATTCGTCGTGTTGTGTGCGCAACGCGCGAAACGCCGCTATTATATCTGGCAGGTCTCACGATTACGTGCAACGCAACTGTGGAAACTGTATTATAGAGTGCAACAGCTAGGTGACTTTTTATAACGACCTTTTGTAAATTTCACAAGACGTTACTTAATTTTGTAATTTATAAACAGAAAAAGTCGTAAACAAGTCGTCCAGTTATACTTTTCCAGTTATACTTACTTTATTACTTTTACTTTATTACTGAGTCGTCGCCGAAGTTGCGACCACGACGTCGATCGCGTGTACTCAAATCACGTTTTCCTTCTGATTGCAGTTGTTCTCTTGGACACAACGACGGAGGAGAAGCTCGACTGGACGAAGTACCCGTTTGGACCGCAAGTCAGCACTTCTGGCGTAAGTACAGAGAATTTCTTTTTTTCCCAACCGAGCACTCCAGCACAGAAGGGACCGCATTGTTCCCGCTTTTCGCCAAAAATTCTCACTCCCCGCTCGACACGTAAGAAGGTAAAGGCAAAGAGCTACATCCTCGAGTCGTCGTCGTCGATTCACCTGGAGTCTCCGCGTGGCGTCGTTGAAAGTATCCCGAAAGTAAGTCCCGAAGTCGTGGCTCTTTCTCCGCGGCGCGACGCGAAGGAACAATTTCTTAAATATCGCGAATTTCCCCGGAAATATTTCACGTGCCGGCAGTAGCACCGTGGAATTCCCGTCGGCGCAGGAATTTCGCCCGCGCGCGCGAGCGTGTGCGGCATCCTTTTCCACCGGGCAAAGGAGGAATATTAAAAATGTCTCAAACATAAATTAAGACTCGTGCGCGCGCGCAAGGTGGTCGGTACGCTCCACGGTTCAAGAGCGGCCCGAAGCTCTTTCTCTCTTTTTCGCTCTCCTCCGGCGATCGCAACAAAGGAGCGCTTAGACGGAAAAAAAATTCCAGGACTTCCCGACATTTTCTTTCCTCTCCCTATCCCTTCCTCCCTCCCTCTCTCTCTTTCTCTTCTCTCGCGGAGCAGAAATCTTTTGGAACTCGGCTGGACCGGGTTCCAGGGGTACCAGAAGCACTTTATGGTCTCGGTGCGCCGCGCGGCATACGTGGGCTCCCGCTGGCCGGTGCGCTCTCTGGGCGCCATGTTTGTTTTTCAGTTGTTAAGCGCGCAGCGGGCCACCAGACAGGTTTAAATCAGCCTCCACCTCCCTTCGTCTCTTTCTCTTCTTCTTCTTCTTCTTCTTCTTCTCTCTCTCTCTCTCTCTCTCTTGTCTCCTGATTCTCTCTCCTCCAGTATCTCCTCCCGTCTCTCCCTCTGCGTCTCCCTTGCTTCGCGCTCTTCGAGCAAACCGTACACACCGCTCTCGGTCCATGAGTCAGGTCCGTCCGGGTAACAAATTGCTTTTTGTTTGAACGGACAAATTAGTGATACGGCCGCACTCTCCGGCTCGCGCGAGGTGCCAGCCGAAAAAGGCACCGAGGGAGGGAAAAAGGGACGCCCAGTGGTTTATTTAAACGTCGTAAAGGCATCGAGAGAGAGAGAGAGAGAGAGAGAGAGAGAGAGAGAGAGAGAGGGAGGAAAAGATAGGTGGAGAGACAGAACGCGGGGAGTTTCTCGCGCCATCAGGGACATCCTTCTCGTGACCTCACGTAGGTGTCGGGCATGCGGATGCCTCTCGTTCGGCTTCGACTCGATCGTCTTGCGACGATAAACTGGCGGCTCCGACTTTTGCCACGGCTCGGTCGACTCATCGAATTCCTCGACAGTCGTCGTTACCCTCGTTACACTCCCATTTCATCGGCCGTACTGACACTTACACTCCCGCGGGCGCTGCCATTGTCTAACCGAGTAACTTCGCGCGAGGCAGTCTTCCGGAAGCAGACTTCGAAAGTCCCTCGTCATCGCGGAGCTTTCGTAAAATCTCTCGCCACAAAGGTTGCTGTTGTTGAAATAGCGGTGAGGTGACCCCGATCACCGACGGACGGACGTGCGAAGGAGGTAGACAGGCGCGCGCGCGCGCGCGCGTAAGACGGATCAAAAGTATCGTCGCGATCATTATTTTCATTCGAGCGTCGATAAACATTTTCTCGCGATTGGGCGCGAGCGAAACCGCACACGCTCGTGCGTGCATACGTGCCCTCCTTTTTCCCTACGATCTCTCCAAGTGTCGATCATTAGTGTCGCGCCGCTAATCGACCGGCGTAACGCTCTGTTTGAAAAGGTTCTTTGAGGCTGCTGTTGATTTTTCTGGGTGCTAAACGTTCGACGCGCCTCCTCCTGCTCGTCCGCCTCCTCTTGCCCTTCGGACGAAACAGTCGGGAGGAGGATGCGTCGGCGGGCCGCGCACGGGAGCTTCATTTTTTATTCCTCCTATTCCAGAGTGACCCGAAAAAGAGCGTCCTCGTCCTCTCGTGTTCACTTCGCACCTTCCGTCCCATCTCACCGCTCGCCGGAAGTGCTACGTCCAAATACGCGCTCGCTCGTTCTTTTTTCTCTCTCTCTCTCTCTCTCTCTCTCTCTCTCTCTCTCTCGATGTCTATCTCTCCCGCACGTTTCCTTCTCGGGCGCACGTGCTCCTCATAAAAACAGCGCGATGTTAGTTACACCTACGGGACCTTTAAAGTTCCTCCCTTCCAATGTCGAAGGTCCGTCTTCTCGCCGCGCGTTTGGCGCTAAGTGCGGCTGTCCGTTTCTCTCCGTCGGCTATTGACACCGCCGTTCCCGTATCAGGCAAATAGAGTTCAGACAGATGGTCGCGTTTAGCGTTGTCTTAAACCGCTGAAGCGTCCAGCATACCAGATACCGATGTGATCCTCCGAATATCGTATTTCCAGTTATTGCTTATCGATCGTCAACGATCTCCTCTTTCTCTCCCCCTCTCTTTCCTTCCCAATCCCGACGAAACTCCAGCTCGGAGTGCCCACGTCTTCCTATTTCGTCGATCGATCGTCGTCGAGCGGGCGACAAGATTTGTCCATTGCCCGACAGTCATAGATGACAAGAGAGAGAGAGAGAGAGAGAGAGAGAGAGAGAGAGAGAAAGAGAAAGAGAGCCAGGGACAATGTCCATTTCTAGCTCGTGGAATTCACACATCACACGCACTCCTCTGCCACGTCGCACGTCGGGAAATGCGTGTAGAGCGCGGGCCATACCGCTGAAATCCTCTTAGCCTCCAGAGTCCAACGGCTTGATCCGCTCCCGAGCGACCCTCCCCGGAGGGAAGTGCACCTTCGCCGTCTGAGAGCGAGATCGATAAAAACGAGAGTGTTTTCACGACTCACCCCCGCCGCCGTTCTCCTACGTGGCGACCTAATCAGTTTCTTCGGACAGAGATTAGCGGCGCTCTCACGCACGCCATTAGCTTCGATCATACGTGACAGGAAATTTATCTCCGCGGATGAGTGATTTAGTTGGAAAGTACCCGCGGCTCGACGTTAATTGAGTAGCGGCGCTTCACCAAAACGCTTGCAGACCCACGCGATTTTCTCACGCTTTCCGAGAAAGCGGCAATTTCGCGCGCGACGAGCAAAAGAAAGAGAGAGTGTGTGTGTGTATGTGCGCTTGTCTCCGAATGAGTACACTCGATCTTCCTCGAGATGCGTGCTTGTCGATTAGGACATGCGGATATCTCGTAATTCTTCATTAAGCGCGGCACACAGGCAGAAAGGCGGAAGTAGGAGAGAGTCCTTCGTCTCTCTCTCTCTCTCTCTCTCTCTCTCTCTCTCTCTCTCTCTCTCTCTCTCTCT